CTTTTGCTTCTGTCAAAAGTTGTCCGTTTTTCATTTCAGTATTGTAAATGTATTTTTCTGATTTTCCAATAAATAAAACACTTAAACTGCTGAATTTCTGTTTGTTTAATTATTTGCCTTGCTTTAAATATTGAACAATTCATTTGAAATGAAATACCAACCGAATAGAGCTTGGTCATACTCTACGGATGTGCAGACAGGTCTGGCTCTATATTCTTGGCAAAGGCTGATTACTTTCGGTTCCAGCAGGCTGGCCTGGCTCTATATATGCGATAATTACTGATCATTTTCGGTTTTGGAAGGCTAGGCTTCTCTCTATACTGGTGGCAAAGGCTGATCAAGTTGCGGCATGACCGAGTGATTAACGCGTCGAAATTGTAATCTAATGATCGCTAACCGCATGGGTTCAAACCCCGCCAAGGGCTAGTCGTTGTTTCCTTGAGCAAGAAACTTTACACTCATTGCTCAGTACTGGTTGGTTCCAGGAACGGATTCGAAGCTTATAGCTTCCTTCACAATCGAACTAAAATATATTCTGTATAAACCAAAGGCTGATCAGTTTTGATTTCAGTAGGCTGGTCTGGCTCCACACTGGCGGTAGAGGCTGATCACTTTTGGTTTCACTCTACATGGTGACTAGGGCTGACCACTTTCGGTTTAAGCAGGCGGGTCTGGCTCTATACACGTGGCAAAGGCTGATTACTTTCGGTTTCAGCAAGCTGACCTGGCTCTATACTGTTGGCAAAGGCGGATCACTTTTGGCTTAAGTAAGTTATAGGTTAAATAGCATTTCAATTTGTGCAGTGTTAGAATCAATGATTTCGAAGAACAAGAAAATATAACAACATAGAAATGATGAATGTGGCCTTATTTTACAGCTGCCAGATTTTATTTCTGTCATCTTGTTCAATGGTATTCACTATTCAAATAATCCGCAAAGTTTTCAAATGCATATTCTTTATTTTGTTGTTGAACTGGATTTACTATACTTAGTGCTATCTTTGAAAGTTTTGAAAATGATTTAATCTTTGAGGATAGTCAGCAACGAACATGCTTCATGCTCCCCATCCATTAATTACAACAATCTTTGAGTTAATCCACAATGTGTCTCCACCTTCTCTAAAACTGGTGTAATATTTACTCCAAAAGAAATATATATACTGCTTTCTTATGAAAAAAATGATGTAGTTGAAACATATTTATTCAAGAAACTTGAAGTTTATTTATACCACTCTCAAGGCGATTTCCTGGAACTATTTTCTACCTGTGTCATATGACGAAATATTAGCGAGACCCCAGTAAGGCTCAAACCCATGATCTCAGGATTGAGAATGTCATAATTCTATAAGAATATACCATGTTTAAGGGAAAAAGGCCAAAGGTTTGGAGAAGACGGGATCCAGACCGCACTTTTTTTCATTCTTGAAATTTTGCAAATTTACTCTAAAGTAAATAACATGAAAATAAGAAAAACTAAGGTATTGTTTACCTTTATTGTGAATTATCTGCCCTTGAATGAAGCAGAAAGCTCAAATTCAGAGGCAGAAAACTCAATGACGAGAACAATGAACCTAATTTTGTTTTGCTTAATTCATATTCAGAAATGATTACAATGCAATGTTCAAATCCTTAAAAAAGCAAACATTATTGTCGTAAAAATATATATTTGTGTACATTATATCATGTAATATAAATCCGTGATAATATCAATTACAAAAAAAAAATGTTTTTTAATACTTAGTTAATAAAGTCCAGCCTTATTTCATTTATTTTCATTTTGCAGGAAAAGGCAAATCTAGCACTGTATTTATTCAAAAAGATTTTTTTTCAGATACATGTATGAATCATAATAATATATTTACATGGAGAATCTGATAGCTTGGGACGCCCATTGCATGTTATTGTTATGAAATCTATTAATAGTAACAAATAACTGATAAGACATACAGCTAGGTAACTTGTGGACGGTAAAATTTAAAATATAGAAATTTTACATCAATAATGACAGTTATTTTTCAAGAAAAATTTTAATATTTTATATCATTAGAAAGGTATGTAAACTCATATTTTGAACAGCAAAAAAAATCAAAACCTTTTCCTTTTTATTTTGGTAAAAAGTTAAACTTGGTGCTAAAAAACTATTGAAAATACAGTTGAAAAATAGCCGAGTTTTCTTTTTGGAAGTGGCTAGCCGTACGGGCCCGTACGGCTAGCCAAAAGTTCTAGCCGTACGTGAGTCACGTACGACTAGCCAGGACACACTGTATTGTCTAGCCGTACGGCACTTTTCAAATTTATATAGAAGTCGAAATTATACATATATGTTTTTTCATGACTTTAAGCGAGGATTTTAACCATGAAATAGTAATTGTCTTCGTATATTTACTTGAAATAGAGATTAATCGCCTTGTTGGCTACAGTAAAAGAAGTACGAATATCGATTTTTATCATTTCAAGACATCGAGAAAAAAATAGCGTTAGGTCGCAGTTAAATAACATCAATTGAAATAGTTTACAAAATTTTGATAATAATCCTTTTTTGTTTCATAAAGTTTAATTTTCGACACCTTTAAAATGAAAAAAAATCAATGTTAGGCTCTGATATTTGCGTTAATTTAATACCGACGGTATAGAAGTTTGTCCATCATTAAGGAAAGTTTGCATGTTCCGTGAAACGCATTTTAAAATTCTATTGTCAGTCCCTGGGTAGGCTTTATTTATGGCTTATTAATTGTTTGTGCTTTTATGTTCGATATTTATCTACTGTATTTGAAAATTATACAATTATTTTTGCTTTTCACCGTTTTTTTTTCAATGTTCTATGTATTTATTTATTTATTTCACTCCGATCATTATTTATTCGATCCATGTGCTTAATTAACAAAAAAACATCTTTCAGTCAAATAAAACAACAAATCATAATCATGAGGCACAAAATAACATATGCATGGTCGACTTCTATATAATTTTGAAAAGTGCCGTACGGCTAGACAATACAGCGAGTCCTGGCTAGTCGTACGTGACTCACGTACGGCTAGAACTTTTGGCTAGCCGTACGGGCCCGTACGACTAGCCACTTCCTTTCTTTTTTGCGACGGACGCGCCCTCAGGCGCGTTCAGAGCTAAGTCATCTACACATGGGATTTCGTTGGCTACACTCGCGCAATGTGTCCTAAACCAATTAACAGCCCAAGAAATAGTACATGAATTTGATCCTTCAAAACTCCCATACTTTGTCTGGATATCTTAATGTCTTCCATATTTAGCCTTTTCAATTTCAAATTAAGTTATCCAAGTTAAAATATGAACGTATATTATTGATAAAAACGTTGTAGTCCCGTAGTATTATTGCGCAATATGCAAATTACTGCTGAAACGATTTACCGCTGTCGAAAAAGTAGGACAGCAAATTATACTACAATAAAGGTGTAACCTCTGAGTTCCAAGACATTATTAGTAGGAAATAAATATTTCTACATTATACAAAACATTATTATTAACAAATCAAAAGTTTTTCGTGACTCTAGGATACCTCGCGCATTAATAAAAGGAGAACTATTTTCGTGACTCATACCGCGGGTTTAGCTGAATATTCAGCAGTTATTAATATATTAGATACAGTACAATGGCTAGTATAAATATCTATTTTTGAAAATGCATGTAAGACACTTTACCGCCATGTAGTCTTTCATGGTAAGGAAGTTATAATATCAGTTCTACTTCCGATTCTTGTGGTTTGTTTACATATTTAACTAGGTCACGATATGAGTTAACCTTCGCTATTCTAAAAATAGATTCTGCATCACCTGAACGCACTGCTGTTCTGATTTTTGGACAGGCGATTAGGAAGTACACATTAAACATGTAATTAATAAACCAGCGGATTGTAATGCAATACTTTTAGAAATGCTATACAATTGTAAGAAGCAAACAAGTTGAAAATGGAATTTAGTGTGAAGTTGAAAAGGACAACTAAACACTGTAGTGCTTAAGTGACATTTAAATTAAAATAAAAACGATGTGCTCTGGCCTCTACATCTTTACCTTGTAAATAAAAAAATCTAAGGAATACACTATTAATTGCTGATGATTTTAACCAATTTTTTTTTAATGAGACATATCCAAGAGAAATAAAAATACAAATGACTTATATTTTATTGTCTGTATGCCCACTATGATATAACACGAAGCAATTCTAAATAGCATTCTCAAATGTATAATGTATTATGTTTGAAGTTTATTTGCCTGGATTTATTCTAGAAATATTTCGTTTTTTTTTCTATTTACATATCATTTCTTAAAATAAATCGATAAGGACACTGATTTACAAGTTTGACCAGAGTTTTTAGGCATAAATTTCATTCTGTATTTAAGTGCTTGAAAGTAGAAAATCTGAATTATATCAATTTGGGACACAAAATATATTGCTCTACAAATCTCGAACTTGTTGAACAAATTTTCTCTGTTTTATATTTTGTGTTGTTTTTTTTTTTGTTTTTTTTTTTTTCTAAAAGAAGCCTTAATATGTCTCTCCGGTTGCATGTCCGTCGCATTCAGTGCTGCAGCACTTTGATTTAACGTAAAAAATGAAAAATCCGCTTACATTTCCAAAATATGAATTTAAAGACCTTCAAATGATATAAGGATCCAAAACAAAAAATCGATCAACAAATAAAAAAGTTATTAGAAATCAAAACTTCTGCTGCTATATAATGTATGTAAATAATGGGTTTTCTTGCCGAAGGGTAAATCTGCTAAATTCTGGTATCAGGTGCTGGTGATGTCATCGTGCAATGGGTCTATAATCATTTTTCATACATTGTACTCATTATTTACCTAGGTTATGTTCTTTTCTCATGCCATGGTTAAAAGTTAATCATATACCATCAGTATCAATCCCTATACAAGCTCACTATACTCTCGATGAGTACTTCTAAGGTCATTTTATTTCATTTCGTAAGACTTTCTGCTCTATCCTGGTCCAGCTTCGGAGGATGAAAAAAAATTGGTGGTGTTCTGTCAAAGAAAAGAAGTAATATACACATCGATTTATTTGAACGATACACCGTTTATTGAAGGGAGGTCACTCTAACACACTGAAATTTGACACTTTCACGGAAATATTTCCAAATTTGGAATATATTCAGACAGGAAGCCGACAAACTCTTAGATTATCTTTGAATGTGAGAACTGACAGGTAATGCATGATTGTTATTTTTACTACAGTAATATTTTATGCCATTTTAGTAAGTGTATTGTTAAAAACAAATTATATTGTAACAGTATCTCAGTTAGTCAGTAGTAAAATCAGAGACATATAAAAAAAAAATTGCGCGGTGTAGATATTTACTGTAGATTCAATTTCCTAAACACGTGCTTTTTGTAGAATCTGAAAATGCTTTTATTTAAAACTTCTGTCTAATTGAGATTTATACTGAATTTTAACTATTTAACAGTTGAAATATATCTGAATATGAAGAGTTGAATTAATATTGTTATTTTAGGGTAAGACTAAGAGCAGAGTGTTGGATAATATTATGGACAGTCAGGAAAATATTTCATCACGGAAAAGTCGAGGTATTTCCATGTTTTGTTTATGTATTCTATGTTAAATGAGCCAAAGCTAGATTCTGAGAGTCTGATGTTTCTGTTCTGGGTTCAGAGATATTGCACCTACACAAAAGAACGCAATATCTCGTTGCGTAGAACAAATAGATGGACTACCATCCACATACATTTGTACTAATGCTCAAAATGCAGTTTTTGCTATCGAGCCCTCTTGCTCACTTCCCGAACTTTACGTAGACCTTCTTTAATTTAAATGATAAATTATTTTTCCTTGAACCAAAGGGTTAGTTTTCCTACAAGGCTAAACAATATTTCAGACTTATTTTTTATGTTTTCTCTTGTTGGATCCATTTATGATTAAATCAGTAGCTGGTGTTTCTGATGATGACATTGTCCAAATCTCCTGTGATGTTAAACAACATCTAAATAAAAATAAGCCTCGGCAAATTCACTTAATCCATAAGGCCTACTGGGTTGATTTAAGACAATACATAAGAACTAGATTTCCCTTAAGAAAGCCAATAAAAGTAACCATCAGACTAAAGGTCCATTTCCTTGACATATGTTCTTTGTAAAGTTATTATACACATTGTTGCAGCAAACATTTCATAGCACTTTTAGGTCAACAATTATTTCACCTCCAACATGGATTCAGTAAAAAAATCTTGTGTTTCACAACTTTTAGGACTGGTTGAGGATCTATTAAGGAACTTAATTCAAAGTCAACAAACAGATTCAATACTGTTCAAATTTTTAAACACATTTGATAGAATTTAAAGTTTTTGACTGTTACTCTTCAAATTACATTAGCATGGCATTCAAGACCACACACTTCAATTGGTAAAAAATTTTCACATAGTTCGCCTAATTTAGCCTGTCTTATTAAATGGAAATAAGTCAGATGAGGTATCTGTTACATCAGGTGTCCCACAGGGCACTGTCCTTAACCCACTTCTTACTCTACATAAATGACCTGTCTGAAAGCATAATTTCACAGGTCTGGTTATTTGTTGATGACACTGCTGTGTATATTATTATAACAGTTAACAGTACACATGAGCAAATCTTGCAAGAGAACTTAAATTTGTTACAACAATGCAAAAGCACATGGAATACGGATGATAAACCAATCTGAATGTGTAGTATGTTCCTTTTAAATATGGTAGTCTTTGCCTGCCAAAATATAGTAGTCTATAGCCTGGCATGCAGTCTCCACTCCGCCTACTTTTTTTTATGTCAGTTTAGTGGGTATTAATTACATTTACATTATAACATTTATAACATTAAGTGATCATGCTTCTGTTTATTTTAGGTTTGCTGACAGATTTGAAAACAAAATTACAAACATCAGGAAAATATGCTGATTTTCTGGAAGAATTCAAGTCGTGTAGAAAAGATGAAGATCGTTTGAAACTTTTGAATAGTTTAGACGAGGTCCAGGATTTGGTCACAGGTAAGGCTTAAAACTATTGTTGTGATACATTTCATAGGATTTCCGAAGATTTTGTCACAGGAAAGGTCTCAAACAATTGTCATGGTACGTTTCATAAGATTTCTGAAGACTTTGTCACAGGTAAGGCTTAAAACTATTATCATGGTACTTTTCGTAAGATTTCTAAAGATTTCGGCTCCAAAACAAATTTTTAGCTCGACTATTCGATAAGAATAAGTAGAGCTATTGTAGTCACCCGAGCGTCCGCGTCGACGTAACCACTTATGTTAAAGTTTTTGTAATACCTCAAATATTTTCAAAGTCCATTGACATATGGCTTTGAAACTTTGCACACTTGTTCACCATCATGACCCCAACCTGTAGACAGGAGGAGATAACTGTATCAAGCATTTTAACAGAATTATACCCCTTTTCTGACTTGCTGAATTTACGTTTAAGTTTGCATACCAGATATTTTCATATACTATTGAAACATGTTGAAATTTTATACTCTTCTTTGAGAGCATAATAGGACTGTCTTCAAGGCCTATAACAGTAACATGGATTTAAAGGAAAATTTGGCCCTTTTGTTAACGTAGAAAATTTTACATTATCAAGGCTCTTTTACTATCAAGCACTAAGAATAGTCGAGCGTTGCTGTCCTACCGACAGCTCTTGTTGTTATGGATATGAAAATGCTTTAAAAATGCTGTAAAAAAACTTAAACTTAAATCACATAATATTTTTTTTTTTTAAAGTTTTTGAAGTTAAAACATTGTTCATTTAAAGATACAATGTTATCTATTAAAAGAAGATTTGTCACTTTCTAGCTTTAGTTTGAAATGGTGATATTTCTAGAAATGTAAAAAAAGAAGATCAAACTGAATACAGTAAAATCCGCTTATAACGAACTCACTGGGACATTCAAAACCTGTTCCTTATATCCGGAGTTCCTTGTAAGCATATAGCGAATTATATCCTTGTATCAGGAGTTTCTATAGCGAACAGATTTACATATAACGAACTGATTGTTTACCATTGTCCGCCATTTTTGAAGAGCATTTGATTAAGAAATAGTAATATTAGTCTTTTATTTATATTTTAGACACAATACCCGAGAGCGTACTTTTTGGAATTTGAAAATCATTGCTATTTCAGTTTTACTCCCTATCTCAATTTCACATAAAATATAATATGCTGTTTCTAAACTCTTTTCAATTTCTTTCCATGATTGAGAATAAACAAGATTTTCGATTTTTCCTTCTATATTGAATATCTTGTATTATAATTTAAGGGTGACTTTAACTAATGTAAGATATAGATTTCTTTTCATTTAAATCAAGCGTACTTTGCAGTTTGCAATGGTTCATGCTTGCAAGCATGCATGATTATGTTGAAAACGGATTATAAATTATTATAATTATTTTACTCGAGCAAAACTATTGAAGAAAATAAATAAATAACCGTTTAATCTTGGTGAAAAGAGCTCATGCTAAAAATATCCTAAAAAGAAAACTATACAAATTCATTTGAATAGATGTTTTGAAGTACATACAACGATAAACGGTACATTCGCCCGAGTTTTAATCCGTGCGAATGAAAACGAAAGTTGAAAATGCAGGATCTATTTACGGATAGCCAATATTTTGAAGTTCGTTATAAAAGTGTAATTTTCTGTACTATTAACTAAATTGGGACTTAGAAATGAGTTCCTTATAAGCGATAATTCCTTATAACCGTGTTCACTATAACCATATACTTTTATATTAAATAAAGAAGGCCAAAATTAGGGCCAAAATAAATTGTTCCCTATAACCGGAAGTTCGCTAAAACAGTGTTCGCTATAAGTGAAGTTTACTGTATTACCTTTTCTCTACATGATAACATAGAGGATATTTGTTTAGTTCAGTGTAAGATCGGAATATATCACACACCCGTGCCGATTTTGCGACTCCGTAAATATGGTATTGCACGGCCGTGCATATATTTTGACGTGACGTCATTAGCGTTATACAAACATATTGTAACGACGCGCTTAATGTAAGCTTTATACTATAGGCGCTTCAATGAAAAATGACTCTTATTTCACTTTAAATGGTCTTTATTTTGGGTATGTGATAAATAGAATATTAAATTCGTGTAAGCTCATTACTGAATTTATTGCACTCGTTGAATAAAATAATATTATGCTCGCCAGAGGCTCGCATAATATAATTTTATTCAACTCGTGCAATAAATTCAGTATTGAACTTACACTCATTCAATATCCTCTATATATTTCACCGAGTAAGCCCCAAAAGTTATATTTTACGAGTGGCGCAGCCACGAGTGAAATATGAACTATTGGTGTTCACGAGGTGAAATATATTTCGATCTTGCACTAAACTAAACAAATTTTCTTTTAATTATATGCAAAAAAACGTTTAAAAAGACGTTTTAACCTAATTCTAAATTAAAATTAATAATAAGACGTGACATCATTTGCGACGTCACATCATTAAATTGGTTTCCAGCACACTGGTATTTCACTGAAACAACGAAAGGGGCTTAAATTCATATTAACAGTGAAATTATCAAAGTGGTAATTTCACTGTTTCAAACAGTGAAAATATCAGTTTTATATTTCACTGATATAAAAGCATGTAATAAATCATCTTTATACAATCTTTACTTTCAGTAAAAGCTGTAAAGAAAGGTAAAAATGTAGAAGACTCAGCTAGCCTTCGGGAAAGAGGTAATGCAGCATTCAAGAAGAGACAATACAAACTGACGTTAGAACATTATAACAGTAGCGTCATGCTTGCCCCGACATCAGGAGACACATCTGCCCTAGCTTTTGCCCTGGCTAACAGATCAGCTGTATTGTGTCATATAAAGTTGTATAAACCTTGTCTTGTGGACATACAGTCATCTATAGATTATGGTTATCCTGAAAATCTCAGGTAAATGTGTATTCCATTTAACATTCTACAAACATAATGCAAGCAAAATTTGGGGCATCCATGGCCGAGTGGTTAAGGTCGTTGACTTCAAACCACTTGCCCCTCAACAGCCGTGGGTTCGAATCCTGACAGGGACTTTGGATTCTTTCATGTGAGGAAGCTATCCAGCTAGCTTACGGAACGTCGGTGGTTCTACTCAAGTGCCCATTTGTGCCTGAAATAATGCACGGAAGTGTACCTGAGGTCTTCCTCCACCAGTAAAGCTGGAATGTCGCGATATGACCTATACTGTGTCGATGTGAGGTAAAGCCCAAAACAAACAAACAAAGCAAGCAAAATTAAAATGTTATGACCTATTGTTTGACAAAAATTGTTAAACTTTGAATCAATGCAGAAAACATGCTTTTGTTCAGTGTTTCCCTCTCTCCTCTGAAATGTCCTATAACTTACATGTACAGATTAAATGTACACCATAATGATATAGAATTAAAGTGTTATGCTGTATAACTTAGTGTTGTGGATTAAATACCACAAAAGCTGATGCTAGGGGGCCTGTAAGATGTTGCACATTTCATAGTCTCTTATAAAGAATCCCTAAAAAATGCCCATCAAGACAAAATTGAAAAATGTTCCAGACTCACGAAAAATGGCAATAAAAAAAATCTGTCTGCTTTATTTCCATTGCTGTTGAGGAAACGCCCTTTTCTTCAGATTTTTTTTTATTCGTAAAATTCGGGTCTAAAATGAGGCAGACAGATCAGCGGTTCCGTACTATGGCTAAAATAATTTATGCTCTGAAAGCTAAGGTCATCATCCAGCAGTAAAGGCTTGAATATATCCAAGTGGTAACTAGGGCGTTATTATAAAATTTTCAAAAGCAGATTCAAAGTTTTGGCATGACATAATTCTAAAATATTTTGTATATAATTTATATCAATGAGAGGAATATATATTACAGAAACAAGCTATACCTGTAAACTTGTTTTGGTTGGTCTCTTGGTATTAAAAAGTCTTTTATTAATGTCAAATTTTTAAAGCAATAAAAGCATGTGTCATTAGTGTTGTTTTAAGCCTGCACATAATAATAGAACAGGACATATATGAGCCGCGTCACGACAAAACCAACATAATTGGTTTGCGACCAGCATGGATCCAGACCAGCCTGTGCATCCGCGCAGTCTGATCAGAATCCACGCTGTCAGTTTCTTAACTTGTAATAGGGTTTGTAAGCGAACAGCATGGATCCTGATCAGACTGCAGATCCTCAGGCTGGTTTGGATCCATGCTGGTAGCAAACGCACTATGTTGGTTTTGGCGTGACGCTGCTCATATGATAAAGTGGCAAGAACGCTGATTTTGAATTACTACTATATAAGAGGTTAAGTTAGCAATGCCAAAATATTGGTGAAGTCCGCAAATTGTCGAGAAAGCACTAAAATTCTCTGTTGCTTAAGTATCAACCAACTGTCATTAATTGCTATCCTTGCACAATGGCTAATATACTCTCATGTGAAATGTCTGGAATTTAAAATTTGCTAACTTTTCAGCATAAGTAAATATCCACTTATACACTAGTTGACAGCTGTTGTTAAAGTGACATACATGTAAGACTAACATAGTACTGAAAACTAAACCTCTTAAATTGTCTCTCTCTTGCCCTCTCCTGTCCCCTGCTTTAAAAAAAATTACATAATTGACTATTTTATTTATTAAATGCAGAATACCCAATCATAAAATTCAATCTTTTGAAACAGCGCTGCTTCTGGAAAAAAAATATATATAAGAATATTCTGGAGTGGAGTCTTAAACTTTTTTATCACTTTGTCTGATTTTCCATCATTCTTTTTAATTGCAGATATAAGCTGTATGAAAGGCGAGGAAAATGTCATTATCAGATGGGCCACAGACAAGAGGCAATAGACGCCTTTAAAATGGCCAAGACAGCTTTAGCTAAAGCGGAATTAGATCAGACAAAACATAAGAACCTGATTAATGAGTTTGACAAACAGATCTGGCAGTGTGAAAAGATGACCGAGGGTCTGGTCAAATGTGCTGAAGGGACTGTTGTACTTAATTCCCCTATTCCTTGTATAGAGAAAGCAGATAAACAGATTCCTGTTATGTCAGAAGGTCTTAAAGTCGACTACCGCGAAGCCTCTGGTCGTGGGCTGTTTGCACAAAAAGATTTTGAAGTAGGCGATGTCCTGATTGTTGAAAAACCATTCGCTTCAACAGTTTTGTCTGATTTCAAGGAACGTTACTGTCACCATTGTTGTGAGAGAGTTATTGCCCCTACTCCTTGTTTGTCCTGTAGTGCTGTGGTTTTTTGCAGCGAAAAGTGTCAGAAAGAGGCTTGGTCGAGTTATCACCAGTTTGAGTGTGATGTGTTGTACAATATACACAAAGCAGAGATTAATCTTGGACATCTTGCTGTTAAAACTGTACTTAAAGCCGGGTTCCAGTATCTTGCAGAGTTTGAAGGTAAATCGGACACGGATGAAACAAAGATAGCGTTGAATGAGAATGGTATTTATGACAGTCAGGATTACAGGACAGTTTACGATCTTGTGAACCACTGCGAGGATCGAGATGTTGAGGAAATATTGAAATATTCAATTGAAGCCTTGTTTCTTCAAAAGTGCATTGAAGCTACTGGATTTTTCGGCTCAGGAGAGAAGAAGGATCTATCAAAGAGCTGTCTGATAGGCGGCCATATTTTAAGGAATTTGATGATGTTGCCTTGCAATGCTCACGAGTGTTCAGAATTGTCGCACATTCCCTCTAACCTTCCCGCATCCGTAACTGTAGAAATTGGGTCAGCCATTTACCCTGTGTTAAGTTTGATAAACCATTCCTGTGATCCTAACGTGGTTCGTCATAGTTACGGAAATATTTGTGTTGTTAGGGCCATTCGTAACATTCCGAAAGGTTCCGAAGTTTTGGATAATTATGGCGCTTTGTGTGCACTAACCCCGACAAGTGAACGCAGGAATAAGCTGGCACCTCAGTATTTCTTTACATGTAACTGTCTTGCGTGCATTGATGACGACCCTCAGTATAATGATATACCCTCTGAAATGCCGGTCTTTAAATGTGACAACTGTTCAGGGCCAGTGTTCCTTCCTTTAAAGAACAAATATGATATGGTCCCTTGTTCGTTCTGTCAACAAAATCACGCTCTGCGACCAAGACTGTCTTCTCTCAGCCAATCAGACGAGACATATCGCATGGCAATGAAAGATGTCCTTCTGAGTTCCTGCGACAATATTGATCAGAGTATTATCTTTCTTGAGAATCATCTCCGACTGATGGACCGATTGTTGTGCCGGCCTTGGCGTGACTTTAATGATTGTCAGGAGGCTTTGAAACAATGTTACGCCTATAAAGGAAGTCATTATGCTGTCACTACGGGGAAGTAAAACTATAACTTTAGAATTAAATGAAAATTTCAAAATGGATTAGACACTGTTCATAACATGCCTTCAGATAAATAATATTGCATACTGCTTAATCAATAATTACACAACTAATATTGTAAAATTTACTTTGCCTTTGTGAAGTAGATAACTTGTAAAATTTACTTTGGCTTTGTGAAGTAGATAACTTGTAAAATTTACTTTGCCTATGTGAAGTAGTTTAATAAGATTTAAATGAACATATGAAGACTTGTAAGATTTTGTTTTATTAGGGGCTTGATTTCAGGTCAATATGTATATCCGATTGGGGTTTAAGCAGTTTAAGCAGTGTATTGCTAACTTGTTTTGAAATTTTGAACTGTCTTTACTGTGAAGGTGTGACTTGTAAGCCAATCATTAACATGTTTACCATAATAATCTCTCTGACCTTGACCTCTATTAATTGTTTGCTCACAATTTTTGTTGTTGTTGTTGTTACTGCTGGATTTTTATTTTAACATTTATGCAATGATGCTGTTTTTATGCTCCCCGAAAAATTTCGGGGGAGCATATAGTCGGCGCCTTGTCCGTCTGTCCGTCCGTCCGTCTGTCCGTCTGTCCGTCCGTTGTCTTGTCCGGAGCATAACTTGAAAACCCTTGGAGATAATTTGTTGAAACTTCATACAGTGGTAGAGGGCATCGAGGGGGAGTGCAGTGTCAAAGAACCATAACTCTATTTTGCCCGGTTTTTGAATTATCTCCCCTTATAGAAAAATCTTGTCCGGGGCATAACTCTAAAACTATAAGAGATATCAACATGAAACTTTGTAGGTGAATAGATCTCAATGGGTAGATGTGCAGTGCATAAGAACAATAACTCTTTTCATCCTAATTTTGGAGTTATTGCCCTTTGTTAATTTTAATACTTTGAACTTTGTCCGGAACATAACTTGAAAACCCTTGGAGATAATTTGTTGAAACTTCATACAGTGGTAGAGGGCATTGAGGGGGGGTGCAGTGTCAAAGAACCATAACTCTATTTTGCCTGGTTTTTGAATTATCTCCCCTTATAGAAAAATCTTGTCCGGGGCATAACTCTAAAACTATAAGAGATATCAACATGAAACATTGTAGGTAGATAGATCTCATTGAGTAGAGGTGCAGTGCAAAAGAACCATAACTCTGTTAAGCCTTATTTTTGAATAATCTCCCCTTTTAGAAAAATCTTATCCAGGACATAGCTGTAAAACTATAAGAGATATCAACATGAAACTTTGTAGGTAGATAAATCTCAATGGGTAGATGTGCAGTGCACAAGAATCATAACTCTACCTTGCCTAATTCTGGAGTTATTGCCCTTTGTTTATTTTTACTTTTTGAATTGTCCAGGACATAACTCGGAAATCATAAGAGATATCATCAAGAAACTTTGTAGGTTGATAGATCACATTGATTAGAAGTGCAGTGCAAAGAACTGTAACTCTGCCTTGCCTAATTTTAGAATTATTGCACTTTGAACTTTTTCCACGGACATAACTCTGAAACTACAAGAGGTGTACTTTCCTGTGTCCAAAACCTATTCGGGGAGCATCACCCGGCTCAAACCGGGCTCTTGTTATTTGTAGTCTTCCATTGGATGAATTTATTTAGGAACCAGTGAACTGTGTTATATATCTTCTAAAATCATACCTTGTGTTCCGTCTTTATCTATACAGGTGTTAGCATGCCTTTAAATGAGCCATGTCATGACAAAACCAACATAATGGGTTTGCGACCAGCATGGATCCAGACCAGCCTGCGCATCCGCGCAGTCTGATCAGGAACCATGCTGTTCGCTATCAGTTTCTCTACTTGTAATAGGATTGGTAAGCAAATAATGTAATATTCACACTGACATTAATGTTGCCATCCAACAAAAAATTTAGTGACCTCCTGAGTTGAGCATTACTGTGTTTTTCTTGAATAGCTTAAATTTAATGAAGAATATTTTATTATACACCTCAGTGCCAAATGTTAGGCATCATACAGGTTAAGTGTCGAAAGTTAGGCATAATACAGGTCAAGTGCCAAAAGTTACACACCATACAGGTCAAGTGCCAAAAGTTTTCAGTACATTTAATTAGAAATACTATTTTCTAAACAATATGATATGTTTCCTCTTTGAACTTTAACCATTATGTTTCTTGTAAAGTGCGATATGTTATAAGAAATAAGACATAGTACTTGGGATCTCATAGCATTGTAGTGATCTCCCGGTCGGTCCTTCGGCTTTTTTCCATTACAAGTTTTGCGGGATGGTCAACGGATCATTATAAAGACATGAATTATCAGGTCTGTGATAGAAGGGATTTTTTTTTTGTGGCTTTTCGAGACAAAAATGAAACTTAAGCAAATTATTAAAAAATGTTAAGAGAGGGCTTTGTGCAATATAGTATAAAATCTTTGTTTGTTTCACGAGAAGATGCTGTACTTCACACATAAGAAACGAAAATTATCGTGCTGTAATATAAATTCATAATGAAGATTTACGTCAGGATATATGGATAAACAGTTGTTTGCAATATAACCATCATCTAGGTGATGGAGGATATTTGTTTGTTTTGCATATAAGATTGAAATATAATTTCACTGACTGAACACCAGATGCAATATTTTTACGAGTGGCGTAGCCACGAGTGAAAATATAATAGCTGGTGTTCACAAATGAAATATATTTCAATCTTATATGTAAAACAAATCAATTTTCTTTTTATTTCATGCTTTTTAAGTGATTTTAAGTATTATTTACTGATTTTGCCGCGTAACGTTGCGCATTCTCCCTTGTGACGTCATCACATCATGACGTCACATCATCAATTTTGAAATATAGTTCTGTTTAATTTCTCTAATTTTGTTACATTTTTAACATGATGTATGGTGACATCGACTTTCTTTTCATAAAGAAGCAAAATTTACGCATGACAGCATTTATTTCTGCCTGTTATTTCATTTAGTTATGATTTTCTTTTCATCCGCATTTAGATATAGTCCGGCTACAGTGAAAATTATATTTTATAAATTTCACTAGTGGTTTATCAGAATATAATTACTGATATATTACAATCAAACACTGGAAAGCATGAAATAAATTTGGGTAATATATACTTACAATTGTTTATACAGGGTCATTTAACCTGTTCTAAAAATCTTTAATTTCAAACTTTATTTTCTTATAAAGACAGGGTCTTATAACCTGTTCTAAAAATGTTCAATTTCAAACTATATTTTCCTTTTAAAGTCATTTACAAGTGATAGTGAATTTAGTATTTTACATGCCTAATGTTGTGGTTTTTAACCAGGTTTTCCGAAGGAAAAAACTGGTTATTAGATTGAGGTATGTCGGCGGGCGGATGGGCGGGCGGGCGTAAACAATTTCTTCTGTGCGCAACTCCTCCTACATTTCTCAACGGATTTTGACCAAACTTTCACAGAAGCTTTGTCATCAAGTGCCCTGGCGCATATTGTCGGGGTTTTGCGATTAGATAATATTTGACCTAATTATGGCCCTTTGTTTTTTTTCCTTATATAAAATATATAGTGAACAATTTCTTTTGTGCGCAACTCCTCCTACATTTCTCAACAGATTTTGACCAAACTTTCACAGAAGCTTTGTCATCAAGTGCCCTGACACATATTGCCAGGGTTTTGCAATTGGTATATATTTGACCTAATTATGGCCCTTTGTTTTTATATGCCCGAAAGAATTTCGGACATATTATGTTATACCCCCTGGCGTCCGTCCTTCCGTCCGTCCGTCTGTTAGCAATTTGGTTTCCGGAGCATAACTTAAGTTCCATTTGGCCCAAAATATTCAAACTTCATAGGATGATTGTCCATATTGGGTAGAAGACCCCTATTGATTTTGGGGTCATAAGGTCAAAGGTCAAGGTCACTATGACCTTAAAACTGAAAACGTTAGCAATTTGGTTTCCGGAGCATAACTTAAGTTCCATTTGGCCCACAATATTCAAACTTCATAGGATGATTGTCCATATTGGGTAGAAGACCCCTATTGATTTTGGGGTCATAAGGTCAAAGGTCAAGGTCACTATGACCTTAAAACTGAAAACAGTTTCCGGAGCATAACTTAAGTTCCATTTGGCCTACAGTGTTCAAACTTCATAGGATGATTGTCCATATTGGGTAAAAGACCCCTATTGATTTTGGGGTCACAAGGTCAAAGGTCAAGGTCACTATGACCTTAAAACTGAAAACAGTTTCCAGAGCATAACTTAAGTTCCATTTGGCCCACAGTGTTCAAACTTCATAGGATGATTGTCCATATTGGGTAGAAGACCCCTATTGATTTTGGGGTCAAAGGTCAAGGTCACTATGACATTAAAACTGAAAACAGTTTCCGGAGCATAACTTAAGTTCCATTTGTCCTACAGTGTTCAAACTTCATAGGATGATTGTCCATATTTGGTAGAAGACCCCTATAGATTTTGGGGTCACAGGTCAAAGGTCAAGGTCACTATGACCTTAAAACTGAAAACAGTTTCCGGAGCATAACTTAAGTTCCATTTGGCCCACAGTGTTCAAACTTCATAGGATGATTGTCCATATTGGGTAGAAGACCCCTATTGATTTTGGGATCATAAGGTCAAAGGTCAAGGTCACTATGACCTTAAAACTGAAAACAGTTTCCGGAGCATAACTTAAGTTCCATTTGGCCTACAGTGTTCAAACTTCATAGGATGATTGTCCATATTGGGTAAAAGACCCCTATTGATTTTGGGGTCACAAGGTCAAAGGTCAAGGTCACTATTACTTAGAAATTGAAAACAGTTTCTTGAGCATGACTTTAGTTCCATTTAGCCCACAATATTCAAACTTTATAGGATGATTGTCCATATTGGGTAGAAGACCCCTATTGATTTTGGGGTCACAAGGTCAAGGTCACTATTACCTTAAAACTGAAAATAGTTTTCGGAATATAACTTAAGTATCATTTGGCCTACTGTGTTTAAACTTCATAGAATGATTGTCCATATTGGGTAAAAGACCCCTAATGATTTTGGGGTCACAAGGTCAAAGGTCAAGGTCACTTTTACCAGTTTCTGGGGCATAACTTAAAGTTCCATTTGGACCACAATATTGAAACTTCAAAGGAGGATTGTTATTTGAAGGAGGTAATACTTTATTTTAGTCCCATGTCTTACAAATGCTTCATCTTTACTAAAAAAAAAAAACAACACTTTCGGGCATATAATGCTCCGCCTAGCGGTGCTCTTGTTTTTCCTTATACAGAATATATAGTGAACAATTTCTTCTGTGCGCAACTCCTACATTTCTCAACAGATTTTGACCAAACTTTCACAGAAGCTTTGTCATCAAGTGCCCTGACACATATTGCCAGGGTTTTGCAATTGGTATATATTTGACCTAATTATGGCCCTTTGTTTTTTTTCCTTATATAGAATATATAGTGAACAATTTCTTCTGTGCGCAACTCCTCCTACATTTCTCAACGGATTTTGACCAAACTTTTACAGAAGCTTTGTCATCAAGTGCCCTGGCGCATATTGTCGGGGTTTTGCGATTAGATAATATTTGACCTAATTATGGCCCTTTGTTTTTTTTCCTTATATAAAATATATAGTGAACAATTTCTTTTGTGCGCAACTCCTCCTACATTTCTCAACAGATTTTGACCAAACTTTCACAGAAGCTTTGTCATCAAGTGCCCTGACACATTATTGCCAGGGTTTTGCAATTGGTATATATTTGACCTAATTATGGCCCTTTGTTTTTTTTCCTTATACAGAATATATAGTGAACAATTTCTTCTGTGCGCAACTCCTCCTACATTTCTCAACGGATTTTGACCAAACTTTCTCAGAAGCTTTGTCATCAAGTGCCCTGACACATATTGCCAGGGTTTTGCAATTGGTATATATTTGACCTAATTATGGCCCTTTGTTTTTTTTTTCCTTATATAGAATATATAGTGAACAATTTCTTCTGTGCGCAACTCCTCCTACATTTCTCAACGGATTTTGACCAAACTTTCTTAGAAGCTTTGTTATCAAGTGCCTGGCACTTATTGTCGGGGTTTTGTGATTGGATAATATTTGACCGAATTATGGCCCTTTGTATATTTTTTCCTTATACAGAATATATAGTGAACAATTTCTTCTGTGCGCAACTCCTCCTACATTTCTCAACGGATTTTGACCAAACTTTCTTAGAAGCTTTGTTATCAAGTGCCTGGCACATATTGTCGGGGTTTTGTGATTGGATAATATTTGACCGAATTATGACCCTTTGTATATTTTTTCCTAATACAGAATATATACTGAACATTTTCTACAGTGCGCAACTTCAAAAATTAAGCAAAAATAAAGTACTGTTTACCTTTCTAAAACATTTGGGGAAAAAAGGCGAATAGACAAAATAAAATTTCTCAATCATTTTTGTTTGAGGA